ATGAAAATATTAGATATCTGCAAAAAAAAAAAAAAAAAGAAGAAGAAAGAGAAAAGAAAAGAAGTCACTGGCAGAAACAGGATTGAGAAGAACCTAGCTATATGTTAACTAGCTGTACATGATCCCATAGTGTCTGAGCTGACCACATCTGTCAGAGGCAGCCTGCAGGTGGCCAAGTGGCATGCTCTGTGCAATTAACTCCTTGCTATCTTTGGACCCTGGGCTGAACACTTCATTCTGTGTGGGGTCTGGATTGACACAATGGACCACATCCAGAAAGGAGAAAGTGGGTTGGGAAGCTATAGCAGGATTAGGTCAGCCACTGGGGCCACTGCTGTCTCTGAACATCTTCACTGGCACAGTACAGCCTTCTTCCTGGAGGCAAGAGCTGCGCTGTGGGGGAAAGGGAAACTTTCTACTTTTAAAGTTGTCTCACATCAGAACTGAGTGAGCTCCTTGTCACAGGATGTACTTAAGCTAAGCCTTTTTTTTTTTTTTTGGTCTCACTTTGTCACCCTCTGTAGAGTACGGTAGCATCATAGCTCACAGCAACCTCAAACTCTTGGGCTCAAGTGATTCTCTTGCCTCAGGCTCCTAAGGAGCTGAGACTACAGGGGCCTGCCACAATGCCCAGCTATTTTTAGAGACAGGATCTCTCTTGCTCAGGCTGGTCTCAAACCTGTGACCTCAGGAAATCCACCTGCTTCGGCCTCCCAGAGTGCTAGGCTAAAAGGCAAGCTAAGCCTCTTCTACTTTCAAAAAAACTAACATTTAGTGGCCAGAGACAGCGTTTTATGCTTGCAAACACAGCACTTTGGCAGACCTATGCAGGAGGATTGCTTGAGACCAGGAATTCAAAACCAGCCTCAGCAACATAGTGAGACCCCATCTCTACAAAAGATAAAAAGCTAGCCAGGCGTAGTGGCACACACCTGTAGGCCCAGCTACTCAGAAGGGTGAGGCAGGAGGATTGCTTGAGCCTACGAGTTCAAGGCTGCAGTGAGCTGGGATGATGACACCACTTCATTCCAGCCAGGGCAACAGAGTGAAAAAACAAAAAAAACCTAACATTTACTGAGTGCCCCTGTGTACCCCACTAGAAGCTACTCTGGAAAAACAAGACAGACAGGTCCTAGCCTGCACTCTAGAAAGCAAAACAAAAAGAAAGATGTTAGAAAGGTAATGCTATGGAGAAAATTAAATGCGTGCGAGGGAGGGGGTGGAGGACTGCTCTAGATGGAAGCCCAAGAATCAAGGAAAGCCTCCCTGAGGTGACATTTAATTCTAAGCCCTAAAGGATGTCGTCACAGAGCAAATCCCCTGGTCAACAGCGTTTGGTGTGGTGTTCAATCTCCGAGGCGCTAGTCTTTGAGTCCGTGATGCCTCCCTGTCCCTTGCCAACCCTTTCTCCCTACAGGGACGCGTACAGCTCAGAAAGAAGGGCGGGACAGGCCTCTAAAGATAAATGAGCCCAGGGTCAGATCTGAGATGCGGATAATAGCAACCTTCACTTCAGCAGGAGTTTGAGAGCCTTGGGTTAATGCACTCAGAGCACCAAAGAGAGTCAGAGTCTGTAAGTGGCATTTGCCTCCATCAGTGTCAACAGTCTCGCTATGGAATCTGGGGAGCCTGGGCCTCCTCTATGCACCTCAGTTTCTCTCGCCGTCCTCGGAGACCGCCACACGGGATGCGCTCGGCTTCACAATTCTGGAGCTGCTGCGTACCCGGAAGCCTAGTGGAGAAAATCCGGGCGGGAAGCGCGTGGGAGGTGGCGCCCCGCCCCGCGCCCCAGGCAGCCCCGCCGCGCCCCGCCCTGCCCAGCCCCGTGCCCTTCCCCTGGAGCCTGCACTAGGAGCTCTCCTTTAAGGCAACCCGCGGGCCAAGTGGAGCGCGTTTAGCCTCCTCCGACGCTGCCAAGGTAGCGGCGTCACCTTTAAGGCGGCGCGGGGGCTGCTGGGAAGGCCGGAGGGATGGAGGCGGCGGGACCGGATCACCGCTGCGGGTCCCGGTGAGGCTGGCGGCAGCCGGAACGGGAGCGGGAGCCGGGCCCGAGCCGTAGGCGCAGGTCGGCGCGGGCCAATCGGGCCGGGAGAGGAGGTCAGGCTCTCAAGGGAATGGGGCTCTGGGTCGGCCTAGGGGAGGGGTCGTCTTGGGCGCGGCCTGCGGGAGGGCTGGGCCAGTCCGCGGGTAGGGGGCGCGGTTCTGGGTGGCCGGGGGCGGGAGCTCGGCCTTTCGGGGAGGGGGCAGAGGGTTGCAGGGCGCTGCGCCGGTCTGTGGGAGGGGTCGCCGTGGGCACGGCCTGGAGGGACCCGAGACCCGTGATCTCAGGTCCTCTAGGGGGAGGTTCTTTGCGGCTCGGTCTGCCAGTTGGGGAGGGGGCTGTCGGAGGGGCTGGGGCGAGATCCCCTGCAGGGGCCAGGGCCTCCTGCACTGTAATGAGCCATACGATCCCCGTACTTGTCTTCGTTAGGGGAGTCCCCGGAGAAGTTTCGAGACTGGGCTTCCTAAGCCGGTGGTGAGGGACCGAATCAGGGTCCGGCCTCCGCGGCCGCGCCGCATTGCGTCTCCCTGGCCGAGATGAGCCGGGCGCGCCCTCTGTAGGCCGAGTTTGAGGGCATGGTGCGGGCCGCAGCCTAGGGGACCTGGGCACCCTGGGGACCACCGGTGTTTACCTAATCTAGGCGGACGGCGGTGTAGCCCCAGCCCGGTGCCCGCTGCCCGCCCCCTCCCTTTGCAGGCGGCACGATCATGGCCATGATGGTGCTTCCGCGGGAGGAGAAGCTGAGCCAAGATGAGATCGTGCTGGGTACCAAGGCTGTCATCCAGGGACTGGAGACCCTGCGTGGGGAGCATCGTGCCTTGCTGGCGCCTCTGGTCGCGCATGAGGCTGGCGAGGCAGAGCCTGGCTCGCAGGAGCGTTGTGTGCTCCTGCGCCGCTCCCTAGAGGCCATTGAGCTGGGCCTAGGGGAGGCCCAGGTAGGTCTGGTCTGGGATACTGAGATGGGAGGTTAAGGGATGGGTTGAGCCTTCCAAAGGAATCCTCATCAAGTAGTAACAGAATCTGCACAGGGAACCATCTGTTCCCTGGAGCCCCATGTTGGGACCCCAGTAAATATCTTAGGAAGAGAGGAATGCACTTTGAAGAACCTCACTCTGTCCCAGGAGATGCTGACCACCTTCACCACTCCCACAGAACCCTGCTCCTGGCTTGTCTACCTAACGGAGACTGAGTGGCAAAGGAGAACAGAAAAGAAAGCCTTAAGGAAACAGCCCCTTAAATTCATGGTGTCTCCTTCATTCATTAAGGAACAGATAAGCTATCAAGGTAGCGGTGTTATGAGAAACACAGCATCCAACAAGACAGACAAGACCCCCGCCTTAATCCATAGAAAGACAATAACAGACATATATAAATAATTGATTATTACAAATTGTTATAAGGGTTCCAAAGAAAAAAACAAGATCCTGTGATAGCTTACAGCAGGGAGTCTTTTTTGTTTTTTGCAGTTTTTGTCTGGGCCAGGTTTGAACCCGCCACCTCTGGTATATGGGGCCAGCGCCCTATTCATTGAGTCACAGGCTCCACCCTATAGCAGGGAGTCTTGTCTGTTGGTCAGGCAAGACTTCTCTGAGGAAATGACAAACTAAAACTTGAACTGAAAAAGAACCAGCCTCTAGGAAAGTGACAAGGGGAAGATATTGCTAGTGCTAAGGTCCTGGGGTAGGGGCTCAGCGCCTATAGCTCAACTGGCTAAGGCACCAGCCACGTACAGTGGCAGTTCGAATGCAGCCCGGACCGCCAAACAACAATGACGGCTGCAACCAAAAAATAGCTGGTCGTTGTGGCGGGCGCCTGTGGTCCCAGCTACTTGGGAGGTAGAGGCAGGAGACTCGCTTGAGCCCAGGAGTTGGAGGTTGCTGTGAG